ACAGTCTCACAATTTACTTGCTGTTTGACCTTGGGCAAGTCATGACCCTCTCTGGGCTTCTCTTTTCTCATCTGTAAAATGGCAATGATAACAGTTATCACTTCATGAGGATTGAACAATAGATGGCATGGTAATCATATCATAAATGATCTCATCATCATATATTGGCCACTCTTCTGGACTGCAGGGATGCAGCTTGAACAAGATAGACTAAGTCCCTGCTCTTACAAAATTTCCATTCTATTTAGAGGTGAGGGGAGTACAGACCATAAACAAACAATAACAAAAACAGAGGACGAGAAAATGGCAGATAAGCGCTAAAAAAAGATGATATGATGGGAGGCTGGGTCAGATGGGACACACAAGGCAGGATGGTCAAAGTAGGCTTTTCTGAGGAGGTGACATTTATGCTGGAACGTGAATGACCAGAAGGGATAAATCAATGAGGGGCAGTAAGTTTCCAGTTAACAGAGAACAAATGCAATGACCCTAGGGAGGAACACATCTGGTGTGTCCAAAGAAAAAAAGAACCTACATTTTTTTAAATCTTTTTTTTTTAAAGATTTTATTTATTTATTTGAGACAGAGAGAATGAGAGGGAGGAGGGTCAGAGGGAGAAGCAGGCTTCCCGCTGAGCAGGGAGCCCGATGTGGGACTCGATCCCAGGACCCTGGGAGCATGACCTGAACCGAAGGCAGTTGCTTAACCAACTGAGCCACCCAGGCGCCCAAGAACCTACATTTTATCTGGCATCATGGCCCATGATCTTTTCACTATACCTCACAGTCTTTTTTTTTTTTTTTTTAAGTAGGTTCCAGACCCAGTGTGGAGCCCAATGCGGGGCTTGAACTCACGACCCTGAGATCAAGACCTGAGCTGAGATCAAGAGTCAGACGCTTAACTGACTGATCCACTCAGGTGCCCTACCTCATAGTCTTTCTGATGCAGGTCATTTTAATAAAGCCACAGGCAAATAGAAAGCTCTAAAATTCACATAGCAGATACTATGAGTTGGCTCACTCAAACATATTCTAACTCCTTTCTTTCAGGAAAGCTAAAAACTACATTCTTAGACTCTCTTCCATTTAGATTGAGGTCTGAGACATAGTTTCTGCCAACCTATGAGGCACAGAAGCAGGATGGTGGTTGAGCCCAGAGAAAGAGAGCAGATTCTCTGCTACGCTCTGTAGTAGAAGCATTTGGTTCTTCTGGGGGTGTGCATTAAAACAGTTCCATGTTGAAGTAGGGCATTTTTTTTTCTGGCTGCACTCTCACTGTGTAGCATTCAAGCCTGGTTCTCTGGTCTTCCAGAACATTCTCTGAGCTTTCTCCTTCCTTTCATGTATTTATTTCTGGTTAAACTAGCTGGAATGAATTCTGTTGTCTGCAACAGAGAACTTTAACATGTATAATGTCCTACTAATTCTGAACTCTCACCAGCTTCTCAACCTCTTCTTCTACCACACCCCGTACCCTTCATCTTTGGTACATCTAACTTTGTCTAAGAACGGGAATCTCAACCCACTCCAGAACTGCGCCTCTTCAGCTGAATCCTCCAAGATGACTTCTCTTCTGTTTGACCGAGTACTTCTGGGTCTGGTACAGAGCTAGGAACAGTGAAGGCTATAATGGTGTATAAACATTGCTCTTGTCATGGGAATAGGAGATCCCAAGACTTAAAATGAAAACAGTCATCACAAGATTATGTAAAAGTGATTAGAGAATAATGATTAGAAAATAATAATGATCATAACACAGTAGTTGTTTAATGAGTGCTATGTAGGTACTAGGTCATAGAATAAGAGCATTACATGCATTCTCTAATTTCATCCTCAAAGTCCTATGAAACAGGTATTATTATCATGCACTTTAAAAGACGAGGGGGGGGGGGGCGCCTGGGTGGCTCAGTTGTTAAGCGTCTGCCTTCGGCTCAGGTCATGATCCCAGGGTCCTGGAATCGAGCCCCGCATCGGGCTCCCTGCTCATGCGGGAAGCCTGCTTCTCCCTCTCCCACTCCCTCTGCTTGTGTTCCCTCTCTCGCTGTGTCTCTCTGTCAAATAAATAAAATCTTTAAAAAAATAAAAAAGACGAGAGAGGGGAGGCTCAGAGAGGTCAAATGACTTTCCCAAAGGCACACAGCTAATAAGTGGTAGAGGCAGGGTATCACCTCCCAGTCTAACCCCAGAGCCATGCCCTAAAAACCGCGTGGTTGCCATGTGCTGGGCAGGGAAACAAATGTTACCTTATTTCATTTTCTCAGTGATTATGTGAGGTGGATACTATTTCCCCAGCATAGCAGATAGGGAATTGAGTCTCAGGAAGGCCAACATTGCACAGCCCTTAATGGAAGAGCCGCAGCTTGAACCAGCATCTTCTGCTCCGAGGTCTAGGGTTCTTCCTGCCCAACCCCAATTGTCTTCCAATTTAATGCACCAGTTTTAGTTAGGATTGAATTCAGCTGCACAGTCAAAAATAAGAGTGGCTTAAGCAAGTGTGGCTTATAAAAGAGGATCAGAAGCAGGCAGTCCAGGCTGGTGTGGAGGCTCTACAAAGGCAGGGGTCCAAGCTCCTTCAGGCTTTGCAGCCCACCGTCCCTAAGGTGCACCTTCATTCTCATGGTCCAGGACAGCTGCTGGAGCTCCAACCATCAGAATCATGTTCCAAGCAGTAGGACAGAGGAAGGAACCCAGAAGAAAAGGCCAGATAACATGACCTAGGTTTCTTTAAGGTCTCCCAGAGGCTGCTGTATTTCACTTCTGCTTATATCTTACCAGAACTAAAGTCACATGGCCACAGCTAATTGCCAAGGAGGCTGGGAAAAGAGATCTTTATTAAGGGTAGCCACCTGCCCAGCTAAAAATAAAGTGTTATTTTTTTTTTTAAGATTTTATTTATTTACTTGAGAGAGAGAAACAGAGATACAGTCAGAGCACAAGCAGGGAGGGGATCCCCACTGAGCAGGGAGCCCGATGCAGGGCTCCATCCCAGGACCCTGGGATCCTGACCCAAGCCGAAGGCAGACGCCCAACCGACCAAGCCACCCAGGCGCCCCAAGTATTACTTTATTAAGGCAGAAGAAAAGTAGATATTGGGGCAGGCAGATTAGCAAGCTCTGCCTGTCCCCTTTCGGCATTAGTCTCTGAAGGCTACCGTAGCTGTCAGAGTCCTAGCAGAAACAGAGGGCATCTCAGAAGAACTTAACCAAAAAGAAGTTAATGGTCTGGGGAAGAGTAGGGACCTTTAAAGGGAACCACCGGGAGATAAGGAGACATCCGGAAGCTAGCAACAGAAGGAAGCTGCTACCGGCCCTAGCCCCAAAAGGAGAGAGAGGGGCCAGAGGTCAAAGACCCCAGCCTGTCTCTTCTCCTGCCCTGCCTTTTGCAGGCAGCCCCCGGGGTGGCAGTGGGGGCAAGGGAGTCTGGGTGATGCAGCCCTAGAGGCGAGCCTTCCAGGGGCTCAGGGCCAAGAGAGGAAGGCAGAGGAGGGTACAGGACAAATGGGGAATAGCCAGCAGAGAGTCATCTGTGCAGATGCCCCTGAGCCCTGTGTCTCGCCACATGCCAGGGCGAGGGGCTGAGCGAATCTGCAGCCGTTTGACTTGAAAGAAAGACTGAAACTTCCAGCAAGGCTATAGGAGGCTCCCGAGAGGCCCCAGCTGCGGCCTGTGGATGATTGAGGAAAGCTGCGTGCGGAAACAAGACCGCAGGCTGCCCTGCTCTGGCCGGAGAGGGCACGGAAAGTTCCCTGTTTGAGAGCGCCAGGGGAGCTACAGAGTGTGCAAGGGTGAGGGGGCGGCTGGCTGCTCGGAGGCGGGCTTTGCACCAGCCGCGTGCGCGCAGCGGAGCGCGGTACGGCCGGGGCGGCCGCACACTTTGGCCTCCTCCTGACTCCGAATGGCGCTTGTATACGGTCTCATGCCGTCTGCTGTTGGCTCGGAGCTGTTTCTCCCCCTCGCCTTGAGCAGGGGGTCGTCTCCGGCCCCACCTCCGCCCTGCACCGAGGTAGGCGAGCTCGTAGGACTGCAGTCCACAACGCTGGGCTCGGTACTGTATGGTTTCATTCACAGGCGTCCTGAATCGGCGACTCTATAGAGACATAAAGTAGACGAGTGGTTGCCAGGGGCTGGGACAGTGGGGCTTGAAGGGGAACGACGCCTGAAGGATACGGGGTTTCCTTTGGGGGTGAGGAAAACATTCTAAAATTGAGTGTGGTGCCGATTGCACAGCGCTGTGACTATATTAAAACCATCGAATGTTCCTTTGAAAGGGCGATGTCGGCGCCCGGGTGGCTCAGTTGGTTAAGCGACTGCCTTCGGCTCAGGTCATGATCCTGGAGTCCCGGGATCGAGTCCCGCATCGGGCTCCCTGCTCGGCGGGGGGTCTGCTTCTCCCTCTGACCCTCCTCCCTCTCATGCTCTCTGTCTCTCATTCTCTCTGTCTCAAATAAATAAATAAAATCTTAAAAAAAAAAAAAAAGTACATGAACCAGGCGCCTGGGTGGCTCAGTCGGTTAAGCATCTGCCTTCGGCTCAGGTCATGATCTCAGGGTCCTGGGATCGAGTCCCGCATCGGGCTCCTGGCTCAGCGGGGAGCCTGCTTCTCCCTCTGACCCTGTCCCCTCTCATGCTGTTTCTCTCCTGCTCACTCTCTAATAAATAAATAAATAATCTTTAAAAAAAAGGGGGGGGCGATCTCTATGGTTTGTGAACTGTATCTCAATAAATCTGAAACAGAAGAAAAAAAAAAGACCCTACTTGGCAGGTATTTGCCGCCTCTGCATCTGTCCAATGGGCGTAGTCCCGTTACCTCACGGAACTGCCTCACGATCAAACGACACACTGTGTGGAAAGCAATTGCTCTCGTGCCTCGCACGTGGTGAGCGCTCACAAAAGTTAGAGCCTGCCCGTTACATGTTTGCCAGCTGCCTCTTAACCATTTTTAAAGTCAAAGTAAATTAGCATAAAGCCGGACGTTAAAGCTTACAAATCCATCTCATTCTAGCCTCTCCTTCAGCAAGTGAGAAATTAGTGGTAAACCCAGAAGATTACCACTGACAACAGAAGTTCAGAGGCGGTTCCGAGAGAGCGGGTGAGCGCACGAGTGAATTCGAGATCTCAGCAGGATAGCCGTTCTGCCACATGGCTTACTGGTGGGTGCTCTGCGGAGGCGGTCAGCGAACCTGGCTTGGCCTGTGGCAAGAGGAGTGAGCAGGAGAGCCGTGGCATAACTCGTCTCTGCCTTAGAGAACCCAGTGTGTGCTCGCTGGAGTCTAAAACAGAAATAACTTCATACAGGTGATAATTTAAAAATTCTATTAAAATTGCTTCAAACTACTGACATGAATAGTCTGTACGTAATTCACAATTTTTTTTTACAACTTAACATCTCTGATCAGGACACATAATCAGTGGCTTGTTCTAATTTAATTGACAGCATCATTCTCTTTCTTAGCTTTACATAAAATAATGGTGCATCCTGAAATGGATGACAAATTAAAGTAAGGTGTACATATACATATATATATATACTTAAAGGATGACCTAGAAATCTGTGCTGGCTGAATGTTCAGAAATATTAAAGAGGTCATGTCCGATTGCAGTGTCAGAAAAAAGCACAGAGTTCAAGCAACTCGGGGGGGAGGGGCGCCATCCTCTTTACCAGAATGGGATGTACATCCTCGAACCTGGGACCCATTAATAGGCAGACTGGCATTACTGATAGTTTTGCTAGTATAATTCTGGAGAAATGACTAATCAGCTATGATTAGATATACCTGAATCCTTTTTTTAAAAAGTATTTATTTATTAGAGCAAGAGAGCATGAGAGGGAGGGGAGGAGAGGGAGAAGCAGGCAACCCCACCCTGAGCCCGATTCAGGGCTTGATCCCAGGACCCTGAGATAATCACCTGAGCCGAAGGCAGCTGCTTAACTGACTGAGCCACCCAGGCGCCCCTGGATATACGTTTAGATGTTATGTGTTCAACCCTTGGAATGTTCAGTGTTCATCCTAGGCTTCTGTAGGCCACACTTGAGCTGTTAGGAGATGCTGCAGAAGCCAGAGGAGTGGATGAGGGCTCCCAGCTGAATCAGCAAAGCCTTTTTCTAATAACCTTGCTTATTTTAGGGTGAAGGGATTTCTGCCGCTGAGAGGCTGAGTACTTGGCGTGGTTTGAGGCTTCCTAATGGATGTGCCAAAGGGTCTGACAGGCAGACGCACCACATAAGAATAATTGTTTAGATGCTGCTCAAGATAATTAATTTGGGCTTTGGAAAAGCTTCCTTCTCGGTACATTCAATTCAAAAGCCCTCCTCCCGGCGTGTGCCTGCAAACACAATCCCTGGAACTAAAGAGAGGATAATAAAAGCCGAAAGTATTGCGAGCCCTGGCCTTCTGAACTCACTCGGAGTTTCCATGGAAGTAGGCATTGGGGTAGATGGATTCGTTTTCCTCTCTACTTGAGCCTTTAGAATGGTGTCCCCAGACACGTTGTCATCAAGAGCACACGGGGAGCCCGAGACACGTGGGGAGACTTGCACGTGCCTCTGCCCACCAGCCTCTTCTGCCAAACCGAACCAAGCAGAAATACAAGACACAAAAGCAAGCCAGCCAGGAAAGATTTGTTCAGGATCCTCCTGGAATTTTGATTCCTGAGGTAGAAAGGCATGCAGAATGGAGAGGCTTCTTAAAGCCTGATTTTAGGGTAGGGAAGTTGAGGCAGTCAGCAGGAGTGTTACGTTCAGCAGGCACCAGAATGTCCAGAAGGCTCACTCCATTCACTCATTCACTATTTATTGAGTACCTACTGTGTGGATGTGTTCTTCTAGACACTGAGGATATGGAAACAGCAGTCAGTAAAACAGACAAAATCTCTATCCACATGGATCTTCCCTTCTAGAGGATGGAGACAATAAGCAAACAGATGAAGAGATCACATATGATACTGATAGGTGATAAATGCTGTGGGGAAAAAAATGAGTCGGGTGAAGGGAGAGCAAGTGCCCAGGTGAGGGTGTGGCCGCTTTATGCAGGTGGACAGGGTAGTGCTCTCAGACAGGGTGAGACTGGGCAGTATGGAGATTTGAAGGACATTAGGGAGTGAGTCAGAGGGACACTGCGGTGGGGTGTGTGCAGGAGAGAGAAGAGCCAGTGCAAAGGCCCTAATGCAGGAGCCTGTGTGGCAAGGACTGACTTGGCGGCCTCGTGGCTAGAGCCCACGGAGCTGGGGATAGTGGTGAGAGAGCTGGGGGAGGCCTTCAGTTCAGGGCGGGCTCTTCAGGTCATTGTAAGGACTTTACTTTTCTGGAGATGGGAGGATTTGGGGGAATCTGAGAAAGGAGTGAGGTGATCCACATGATGTTTTAATGAGGGATCTCCAACTTCTGTGTGCAGAACACATCATGCCTGGGTAAGGGGGGGGCTGGGAGACCAGCTGGGGGTCCACTGCGGTGGTCCCGGGGAGGGCAAGCTGGCAGGGACCTGGGCTGGTAGGGATGGGATGGGGGGAGATTCTGGGTATGTTTTGCAGGTGGAACCCATGGGATTGCAGGAGGACAGAGCTGATGGCCTCGATATCAGAGGCACAAGGAAGAGGGAAGTGAAGGGCCACTTCAAATCTTTAGGTGTGCACAGCCGGAGGAATGGAGTTAGCGATGTTGAGCCTGGGGCACTAGAGGTGAAGCCTTTTTTTGGGTAAAATCCTGTTTGAGACTTGCTAAGTTTGAGATTTTTTTTTTTTTTTAAGATTTATTTATTTGAGAAGGGGGGGGAGTGGCAGAAGGGGAAGATCTCAAGTGGACTCCCCGCTGAGGGGGGGCGACCCACTGGGGACTCGATCCCATGACCCTGAGATCATGACCTGAGCCGAAATCAAGAGTCTGTTGCCCAGCCAACTGAGCCACCCAGGTGCCCCTGGGATCTTTATTAGATACCCAAGGAGCGGCTGATTAGGCAATTGTGAGTCTGAGTTCAGGGAAGAGGTGGGTGGGGCCATAAATATGGGAGTCATCAGCCTGTAGATGGTATTAAAGGGACTGGATGGACTTAGCCAGGGCCAGTGCGTACATGGAGAAGAAAGTTGAGGATGGAGTTCTGGGACACAGCCCTGCCTTGTAGTGCCTTCGTGCTGGCGGGTCCGGCAGAGTGCGGGCTCGGGGCTTTCCATCTCCTGCGCATCTGCCTCGAGAGATCACGAGAAAGGGCGGTCCTGGTCTGGTTGGCAAATGTTTGGTAAGGTCTGTAACCACACCAAGGGTACTGTCCGCTCTACCAAATACACCAGTCCAAACTCCTCCTGACACCCCTCCTGCCCGACTCTATGGAAGCAATGACCATAGAGGGAATTCTGTCCCCTCCCTGAAGAGCTACCACCTTGCCACCTGTGTACTTTCCAACTGTTATCATCTTAACATTGGGTAATCAAGAGAACAGTGGCTTAAAGAGAAAGAGAGAGTGAGAGAGAGGGAACAGTGGCTTAATACTGAGATTGGTACTTAAATCTTGGTTTTGCTGCATGTTAGCTGTGTGACCTTGGACAAGTCTCTTAACCTCTCTGAGCCTCCATTGCCTCCTGTCCACATATTTCACAGGCTTATTTTGACAATCAAATGGGACTCTATGTCTAAAGAGGTTACCCCTGTGTCTAGCAAATAAGAGGTAATTATAATAGTAAATACTGTGTGCCAGGCACTATTTCATACATCTCTTACATACTTACTTCATTATCACAACAACCCCATGAGGCAGGTATTGTTTTTATTCCCACTTCACAGACAAGGTTAAGTAACTTGGCGGGCTAGTAACTCAAGCAGCCTGACTCTAGGAATTTATTCATATGACCACTATGCCATATTGCTTCTTGAGAATACTTTAAAATTTTCTTCTCTCTTATTTTCAAGTGTTCTTATTAAATGGCTCAAGCTTTCAATTTGTAGTTTTGTATTTTTCCTTGTTATTAAATTGCGGTCATTATCTGACCCCAAGATAATTGTCATCCCCTTCATACTAAAAGAAGCAATTTAATGCAACAGCAAGAAGAGAAAAATTTGAATTTTCTGAACTACAAGAGATAAGGTCTTCTTGCCAACATTTTCGGTGGGAAGCTGGTTAGCGTGGCTGGGCATGCAAAGCAAGCTGGAGATACGACTTTCTTCTTGAATAGGCAAGAACTGACCAAAAAGGATAATTATATTTTTAGAAAGCTATGAAAATCTGAACAGAGAGTGAGGGATTTGCCTTTTAGAATGGTAAGAGAAGCCCACTGTACCCTTTATTATGCATTTGCATACATATATGCAAAAGTGTGTTCACGAGTATATTGGAAGGTGTGTGAGTTTACGTGAATGCTGGTGCATGGAGTGTGCATGTGTGCACTTGGCATATGGAATACTTACTGGTTACCAAAGGAGGGGGCTCTCTGGGTGTTTGGCACAAAAGGTTGGGCTGGGATTCATTTTCTGGTTTATACTTCTTCAAATCCATGAGCCGATGATGCTCAGAAGGGAAAGCAATCCCCAAGGAGAAAATAAAATCGTTTCCCATGAAATAGAGCATGTTTAACAAATAAGAATACAGACCTCCCAGTTAAATTTGAATTTCAGATAAACAGTGAATAATATTTAAGTATCATTATGTTCAATGCAGTCTTTGGGACATCTTTGACCAAAAATTATTTGTTATCTGAAATTCAAATCTAACTGGGCATGCTGTATTTTATCTGGCAGCCTTACCAGGAAGACAATGAATTTAAATACCTGCCGATTTTGTAAAATGTTTAAAATCCACAAACCACTTTTGGACTGGCAAAAGACTTTTGGTTCTGGCTGAAGGCGTCCAGTCATTCTTCTCTCTTTCAGGAAGTCCTTAATGACTTGGCACCACCATCTGTGAAATGGGGAAATAATCTGATTCTGTCCTCACCCCCAGGGGAAAACCCTGGAGAATTTCACATCCTTAGCCTCACTCTAATGGCCTGGGGCCCCGCACAGAACTTCATTCTCCACTTCAGTAAAAAAACCAATTAAGAATTGTTTCAAAGGATTCTTATGACACGCCTTAATAGCTAGCCAGTATCCTGCGGTGTTTAATTTCTTCTCTTTCCCTCTCTCTAGCTTGCATGGGGACAGAATTCTTCCTGTCAGACGAGTAGCCAGCCAACTCTGAGTCTCTGGAGGGATGCAGAGAGGACATTTCCCACAAGTCTGACCCCTGGGAAGCTCGAGGCGGGCACAGGGGAGGCCCAGGATCCGGAGCGCTGGTGGGGGTGTGGTTGGAGCAGAGCCCTTGGTGCCAGGCGAGCATCTGGACCGCACAGGACTTCTTCCAACTGGAACAAAGAAGCACGTGGGGGTAAACGTCAGGCTGTCAGGTAACAGTCCCTGGGTTCATACTGTGTCTGTCAGTCTCTGGCTGGATGGCTTAGAACCTCTGCCTTCTTCATCTCTAAAATACCTGATATGCTGGTGCTGATATCACAGAGTTATTCTAAGGACTAAATGGCATTAATAAAACCGTGTCTGGCTCCCGGGAAGCACTTAATAAATGTTAGTCATTATTATTATTGTTGCCTGGGACAATTCTTCCTTAGCAGTTCAGTTATAATTTTTATTAATAACCTCTTCTGAAGGTAGATAGGATGCATGTTCATAGAATATGTAAACATATAGAAAAACCACAGGAAAAGAATTAAATCAGAAATCCTTCATAAGGCTATCTCTGGTCTTTTTTTTTTCCCTCTGTATATATTAGTGGTCTCAGTTCTGGCAGTGCATCAGAACCACCTGGGAAGATTTAAAAATACAGATACCTGGGCCCCAAACCAAATCTAATAAATCAGAACCTCTAGGGGCAGGGGCGAGGGATCTGTAGTTAAAAAAAAAAAAAATTCCAGAACATTCTATTGCAAAATCAGGCATAAGAATCCTGCCAGTCACTCATACCTGTGCTCTCTTTTTCTCTCATACAGTTCTCAAAAATTGGACAATATCGTACATTCAGTTTTGTAACCTGCTTTTGTCCAGTTGCCTTATCGCTCATCATTCTTCCACAATATCTTATTTTTTCTTAAGGCTTTGGCTGTGGTTTCTAGTAAGTGCTGCTTTGCACCCAGCGGTTCTCTCAAAATGGATCCATTGAAAAATGTCATCCCTCCTGCCTTCTCGCGTCCCGCTAGTCTGCCCCAGCTGATGAACAGAGACCCCTTCACCATTACTCTTTCTCCCCACCTCTCCAATTTCAGCTCCCTAACTGATGGCCACAGCTGGCTCTGGCCTTCCTCCCATCGTCTCTGTGCGGGTTTGTGGCTCAAGCTGGAGATCATGCCAACAGACCTGCTGGTGCGGGTTTGCACTGTTTCTTCCCTAACATATTAACGCGACACCTAATGCTATTTTTCACTTACTGCTCAGCCGACCACGGTGGTGGTGATTTCACTTCCAAACAACCTCCAAGGACTCTGGCGGGAAATTTCCGTGGCTGTCGGCTGACATTTTGGGATAATAAAATGAGATGAAAACACTGCAAAGAATCCCGCATAGACGGCGGTCTCCAGTTCCTGACTAGGGAGACTGGACGTGGTGTGAGCAAGGGCCTTACGCCAATAAGAAGCAAATGTTCAAGCCCTTATGCCCGTCCTGTTAGCAGCCGCTGAGGTCGCCGAAATCCATGCAGTCACCGCAGGACAACCCTGACTCTCTGTGTCCTTCCAGGCTGATATTCCAGCTGCAGAACGGAAGCTCAAGTGATGGCTGTCTGAAAACTCTTCAAAACCGTGTAAACCCCGGGGTTCTCAAGAAGCGTGGTGTAGAAGTGGGCGTCTGAGTAGCATCTGTATGGACTGGCAGGCAGAATGGGCAACGGCAGGTTTCTAACTGGTGCTCAAGTGAGGAAACCTGAGGAGGCTGCGGGCCCCTCCAGCTGGGCCATTCGCTTTGGGCTCTGGCCAGGCCGAGCGAGGGCTGATGAGAAAGGCTGCAGGCCCGCTGAGCACGGAGAAGTCTGAGTGTTCGGTGGATGCACAGGTGAGAGTGAGGGCAGCTTCTAAAGCCTGAGGAATGGTGGGCCAGGCACTCTTCAGGTTAACTGAGGAAGCGTGGGGGACAGACGGCCTCTCCTGTCCTGGGAGAGTAGAGATTTCGAAGGGTGCTGATAGGCAGCTTTCTATTTAAGAGTGAGAGAGACGAAGCCCACACAGTGAGTCAGACTGTGCTGGCCTAGTCCCCTCTTCTTGGGCCCTAGGAACACGAGTCTTCAACACGTGGAAGTTGTCGGGGCGCCTGGCTGGTTCAGTCAGTAGAGCGTGTGGCTCTGGATCTCAGGGTCGTGAGTTCAAGCCCCACGCTGGGCATGGAGCCTGCTCAAACAGAGAATAATTTTAAAAATACTAAATAATACATACATACATACATAAGTGGGAACTTTCTCTTGCAGGGGAAGAACGTGGGTGTTGTAGTCACGTAGAGCTGCAAGCTCTTCCACTTACCAGCCGGTTATTTAATCCCTCTGAGGTTCAGTTTCTTCTGCTCTGTAATGGGGACAGGTACCCACTTCACAGAGTGGGGACAGAATGAGATCAATCCTTGTACAATGCCCGGTACATACAGCGCTGGTTTCCCATAGCTGGTGGAGCCGGAAGGGAGAAGAAGTGGAAGGCTCACGGCCAGGCTGAGATGGGCTGATGCTACTGTCAGGAGTGGAGGGAGGTTTTGCCTGAGGCGCAGTGTGCCTCCCATCTGTCCGTGGCAGGCAAGGCCCTGAGAAGGCCTAAGCTGAGGCAGGCCCATAAGTGGGATGGGTTAATGGCCTGCCAGGCCGGTGTGAGTACCGCCCTGCTCTGGGTGGTTGTTTCGCAAGACAAAGCTGATGACAGAAGCTCCCTCTCTGTGTGGCAGTTTGTATCGCAACTCTTTTTGATCCCAAATGATGCAAATTGCAGGATCCCAGGAGGCCGAGACCAGTACCTCCCTCATCCCTTGTCACATCAGACGCACCATCCAGGTAAGAACCCCATTGCTCCTGCCTTCGGCCTGAATGTGGGCTTGTGCAGTTTTGCAAGCCATCCTCACTCCAGGGGTCGTGTCTCCCGTTTGGCAGGGATGGTGGACAGCAGAAGCGTTGCTCAGGACCCGGCCGAGTGTGCAAGCCCATCCAAGTGACTGCGCCAGGGAAGGAAGCCTTGCGAACCCTCTTCATTAGTTTTCTCGGCACAGAAATTGAGCGCCCATGGTGACACTTCCTCTCAACACTCCTTACTGGACACTGAAGAGACCGTTTCTGCCCATTCTTGAATTGAAACAAGAAAGGTCGGCAAGAATGATTTCTCTATGGAGTGTGATTTTAAGCAGAGGATTCATGAACGTGTGTTCTCCTCCCTTGTAGAGAGGCAGCCTTTCTCCAGGAGGGGACTAAGATCTTACTGCAAAAACAATAGATATTGGTCTCAATCTATTCATTGCTTCTGCTTTTCATAAGAAAAAGGAAAAGATTTTTATATGGAAGCCTAGGGGAGGGCCTCAGGCACCATGCAGAAAATTTTCCATGACAGGAGCTAATATCCCTAAGCACCTACTACTGCCAAACAATGTGCGAAGTACTTCATGAAATTATTTCACAGAGACCCTTCCCATTTTAAAGATAAGAAAATTGAGGGTTTTAGCTGGGAAAACCTGGAGGAGCGAGCAGGGAAAGCATATGTCTGGGTCATGGGAAGTTTGGGGATGAGAAGCCCTGCCCTTCCTGTTGTCTGAAGAGAAGAGGATCAGCAGCGTCCATTTTGGAGGATGAAAACAGCTCCGGGCCTCGGTTCCGGCCAAATTTGGTCAACAAAGGACACAAAGAGACTTGTGAGCCTCTGCGTAAATCCAGATTCTTGGGTGCACGTGACAGAACTCAAACTCAAGCTGGCTTAATCTTAATGAGAAGAAATCTACGGGCTCATCCAACTGCGGGCTGGCATGGGCTGACTCGTGGCTGGGATGAGGCATTGAACTAACACTCACTTGCTCTCTTTTTTGCTCTCCCCTGTGTGTCAGCCTCATTCTCTCTTACTACAGTCAGGCTTCCTACACTCTGCTGGGCTTTTATGATCCTAGCTCAGCGAGACTAGCAGAAAACGCAAGTTCTCTCCGTGAATAATAAATATGCATGGTATGCACTGAATAGAACTGTAGAGAAAGGCTCGGATGAGTCCTGCTGGTGTAGCGTGCCCGCCAGTGTGCCAAGTACCATCACCATTGTCGGGGTGCTCGGGTGTGATGATGAGGAAGCCCGTGGCCAGTGCAGGGCAGCAAGTTGTGACTGACGGTTCTACGTGAACTTTATAGACTGGGGATAAAAGCGTCCCCCAAAGGAAGTCAGGGAGGCAGAGCAGACAAAATACCAGATGTCCACGAGGCCCTGGACCAGATGGAGACTTGGAGAGATGCCATCTTCACATGGATCCTTTTGTGCCCCTGATGACTCCAAACATGACAAACGACCACCTTTATTCGTTCGCTAGGGCTGCCATAACAAATTACTACAGACCAGGGAGCTTAGAAGCAACAGAAGTTTCTCTCTTGCAGTCTGGAGGCTGGAGGTCCGAGCTCAGGGTGCATCATGGTGGGGTTCTGGTGAGAGCCCTCCTGCTGGCTTGCACAGGGCTGGCTGCCTTCTTGCTGTGTGCCCCCGGGGCCCTTCCTCAGTGCCTGCCGAGAGCGCGGGCGTCTCTTCTTGTAAGGACCCCAGTTGCACTGGGTCAGGGCTCTACCCTTCGGCCCTCATTTAATCCCCCTTCAAGGCCTCATACATACGCTTCAACATATGCATTTTGAGGCAATACAGTTCAGTCCACAGGGTCCTGGGATCTAGATACTTTTAGAAGATGCAGTTTCCCTCTGTTCTACACAAATCTCCATGTTCTGAAAAACATTTCTGGCTTGGAAATGATAGTCAGAAATATTTGAAATTCTAGGTAAATTGGGATTCAAAAGGAGAGAAGTTACCTCGCCTCTAGATTCTAAGCCCCGGGAGGGCAGGGACTGTATTTCCGTATGGTTCTGAGAAACACGAATCGAGGAAAGGTGGCCTTCTTTTTTTTTTTTTAATATTTTATTCATTTACTTATTTGACGGAGCCTGACATGGGGCTCCATCCCGGGACCCAGGGATCACGACCTGAGCCAAAGGCAGACTCTTCACCGACTGAGCCACCCAGGCGCCCCAACAAAAGCATTTTTTTAACAAAATAAAATATAGCATATGTACACATGCACACAGGATCAGTTACTTTAAAAATAGCCTCAGAAACACTCTCATTTTCATATGTTTTAGGGTTTTCTTCCTGAAATCTAGGGCAGCTTTTACAGTTTTGTTCAGGGGGTTGTCTGTTTATTCTTTTTTTCTGGGTTTTGGATTTCAGACCCAGTCACAGTTTTGTAGGTGCAGAGAATTTTTTCCTTCTTCTAGGCTTTTTGGCTGGCCAAATAATTAAATTGACATAAGGTGGATTAACAGGAGAAAAACTAATTTAATTTTATACATTAAAGGAGCCCCATAAAATTATGAGACTCAAAGAAGTGACCCCAGCAGGCAGTTTTTATACCTTTTAGATGGAGCAGCAATACATTTGTAAAGAATTAGCAAGACAAAGGGGTTTGGGTTTGGGGTAGTAAATTGGTGAAGAAAGAACAAGTTTTGTTTATATTGACTTCTCAGCCCTAAATTCCCTCTTCGTGATAAGGATCCCTTCTACCCTCCTGGTACCCCTTTCACATGGGAGATTTATCTCCTGCTTTCAGGGGCACAAAGGAGGATCAGAATGTTCTTCTCCCACTGACTGTCAAATAATGTTAATTCAAAATAACGTGAAAATGAATAAAAGGAAACCTCATCTAAAATGGAATCAGGAGGCCAGAAGGCGGAGCCCTCGTGCACTACCACTTGGACACCAATTCCAGACCCCAACAGGAAGCATTGTCCATACGGAGCTCGACAGAAGATGACTCACCTTGCAAGCTGAGACCGCTTTCCTACTCCAGCAGGGGGAAGGGAGAGTCCCTTCCTTGCCCAGCAATTCAGTGAGAAACCATCTCCACCCTGAACCCTTGCCTGCCTCCAATGGGCTTGCACTCAAAACAACCCCTCTCACCTTCCTCCTTTTTCTCTATAACTGATGTTCCTCTCCTTTTCTTGTTGGGCTTGCCTATGGCTTTTGCTATAACTTGCCTCTCCTGAATTGCAATTCCTCCGCTGTCCCCGAATAAACCCATTTTGCGGGTAAAATTACTGGCTGTTTTACTTTTAAGGTCTACAAATCAATACGCCAAAGTGGGGGACTTCCATTTGCTGCTGGGTTAAAGCCTCTGTAAGTATTTCCCGAAAATTTTACGAATACACAGGACCAGCTGTGACTGCTTCTGGATAGCGTCCATTCTTATGGAGTGCCGTGGTGGCTTTGCTCTGGAGAGGGCTGCCTGGGGACCAGGTTGTTTATCGGCTCTGTGGCTCTGGGCTGGTTAATCTTTCTTAGCCTCGTAAAGTGGAAGGATATACGGAAAGTGCATATAGCACGGTGCCCGTCCAGAGTAGATGCTCTGAAGTAATCACTATTATAACTATCCCTCCCTTTTGTAAATTGCTCAATGTTCCAAATGCAGGGGTCTACACCTCAAATGTCTGCAGGAGCTAGAAAGGTAATTTACATGTCTAAAGCTGACCTGTGTGGGACGATGGGTATGGAAGAAACCATGATGAACTGGGGGGAGTGCATGATCTGCTAAAAGAAAGTCGAATTTTATAACAAAAAAAGGAAAGGGAAGGGAAGGAGGAAGGGAGGGAGGAAAGAAGCTAACATTGTACTTGTCTGCTACCGGGATTTGGCCCTGGAGCTACCAGTTTGTAACCCTTGCTCCGATTTAAAGGAGCTGAGTGAACTACATTAGGGAAACAAAGCCCAGGTTTTAGGATTTGTCTTAGGATTTTCTCAGTTTTCAACTGTTAGTGACAGAGGAAACTCCCTATCAAATTTCTAATCAAAGAGAAATCAGGTCACTCTGAGTATTTCAGGGTAAAGGATTGCTTTACCCTATAACCAGTGTGAATGAGATAGTCAGTAATTTTCAGTAATTTATTATCAATGACAACATCATAGCAGCTCGGTCTTTATTGTTGTTTATTCTCAGGATGAGACTAGATTTCAAGACAGGCATTTTTCTGGTAATTGAACAGAATGATAATGGTTTCAAAGGTGAGGATGTGAGTTGCTTTGTCAGAGACTCTCAGGAACCAAACCTAAAAGAACTCTGTGGGCCACAGATAGTATTTATTAATATTATTTGTAATCTATAAACATTAATTTGTATTCTTCAAAGAACCTGTGTTCCGGCTTTCTTATACAAAGGCATCATAAGGAATGGTATGATTTGGGGAGAATGACAGATATTCACATTCTTTTTTCAAAATCTCTTTTCTATTGTGCCTAAAATTGCCATATTACTGGTTTTCAAAAGAAGACAATAAGAAGGAAGTGATTTTTGATGAAAGGAAGAAACTAAGGAGGATACGTTCTCAAAGCCACACATTGATTCATCCATCCATCCATCCATCCATCCATCCATCCATCCATCTATCCTGCCAACATTCATTGAGCACTGACTCTGTGCCATGCCCTGGGACAGAACATGGAGTCTAGTCGGGGAAACACACTTACAGAGCAGTGAGTGTGCTGTGGTAGAAGTATGTGTATGTATTCACGGGCCAAATTCAAAGGGCATCATGGTGGTTACTTGTATATATCAATTTGACTGGACCACAGATCACCAGATATTGTCCATGAGGGTCTCTCTGGATAAGATTATCATGTGAATCTCTAAACTAAGTATAACAGATGGCCCTCCCAGTATGAGTAGCCCTCATCCAATCTGTTGAGGCCTGAATAGAAGAAAAGGCTGAGAATTCTCTCTTTGCCTGATTGTCTTTGAGCTGGGACATCAGTCTCCTCCTGCCTTTGGACTTAGACTTGGGTTGGAACTTTCCTCATTGGCTGTCCTGGTTGTCAGGCCTTTGGACTCACACTGGAACACCACCATTGACTTTCCTGCATCTCAAGCTTGTTGACTGCAGATCTTGGACTTCTGAGCCTCCATAACCATGTGAGCCATTCCTTATAGTAAATCTCCTTAGACAGGTAGATAGATAGATGATACAAAGATAGATGATAGATAGATAGGTAGATAGATCGATAGATAGATAGTTCGTTCTGTTTCTCAGGCTTAATATAGGCATCCTCCTCAGTCTGGGCAGGAAGGCTTGGGAAGAGAGGGGAGTTGACAGGATAGCTTCCTGAAAGCGGATACTGGGCTGAATTCTGAAGAATAGAGCAGAATTAACAAGGAGGGAGATTGCTTATTGCATGCGTCAAAGCCCTGTCCTCAGATCTTTCCAGTTCAAAACTTTAATCAATTCTTTGGATGAATATATAGAAGGCTCATTTATTATTGGCAGAAGGCACAAAGTTAAGAGAAATAGGGATTACTTTTGGACAGTGGCAAAATCAGTGCTCAGATCTTGGCAGGGTAGATGATGGGCCAAGTCCAACAAAATAAAGCTGAATAGAGGTAAATGGAAAGCCTTGCACTCATTAAAAAAGCAAAACAAAACAATAAAAACAAGCTGAGCAGGGGGTGAGAGGTGGGGAAAATTTTTTTAAAAGTTTTTATTGAGATATTGACATACAACATTATATTGGTTTTAAGTGTACAACATAATGATATATATATATCAAGATAAGTTTAGGTAATATCTATGACCACGGTAAGTTTAGGTAACATCATTTTGACCACACAGTTACAAATTTTTTTCTTATGATGAGAACTTTTAAGATCTACCCTCTTAACAATTTTCAAATATACAATACAGTATTGTTAACTATAGTCATCATACTGTATATTACCTCTCCAGGACTTATTTATCTTATAACTGGAAATTTGTACCTTTGGCTTCCTTTACCCATTTTGCCAACTCCCAACCCCCACCTCTGGCAACCACCAGTATATCTTCTATACCTGTGAAGTTTTGTTTTGTTTTGTTTTTTATTCCACATATAAATGAGATCACACAGTAGTTGTCTTTCTCTGACTTATTTTACTTAGTGTAATGCTCTCAGTGTCCATCCATGTTGTCACAAACAGCAAGATGTCTTTTTTATGGCTGCGAATTTTCCATTTTATATATACAAATAAAACACATTCTTTTTATCCATTCATCCATCAGTGGACACTTAGGTTGTTTCTATGTCTTGGGTATTATAAATAATGCTGCAATGAACATGGGCATGCAGATATCTGTTCAAGATAGAGGTTTTATTTTCTTTGAGTGAATAACCAAAAATGGAATTGCTGGATCACATGGTGAAAAAGACTTATTTATATTATGTGTTTTAGTTCAGAAGTTGGCAAACTATGGCTCATTAACAAAATTGAGCTAGTTGCCTGTTTCTGTAAATAAAGCTTTACATATTGTCTATAGCTGCTTTCATGCTACAACAGCAGAATTGAGTAGTTGCAACAGAGATTGTATAGACTACAAAGTCAACAATATTTGCCATCTGGCTCTTCACACAAAAGTTTGCTGACCCCTGGTCTAGTCCACTGTGAGTTCAGTGTAAGTCAAGAGTGTGATATGTGCACAAACAATGCCAATTCTCCCTTGGGAGCTATTTATAAAAATACAGATGCTTAAAATCATGTGGGAATGAGTCAGTGGATGAACAATCAATCAATCAGCGGAGAGGGTGGTCTACCCTGGTTTTTGCCGACCGGAACCCACCAGAGTCCTGGACTCCATACCGGGGATGTAGTTGAATACAGGCTGTTGGAGCTCAGTCAGGGGAGAGGGCGGAGGGGTGTTGAGAATTGTGTTAGGAACAAACCAAGGAAATAAGAATGTTTAGCCTGAAGAAGCAAATTCCCAAGAGGGATATCAACAGCATCAGTTCTTGATGACATTCATTGAGTCTTGTGTATTGGGCTCGTTAAGTATAGGAACTCATTCAATCCTCACACCAACCCTATGAGACTGGTAGTATTAGTATGCCCATTTTGCAGATGAGGACTCTACGCCATGGAAAGATTAAGTTACCCAAGGTCACACAACCAATAAACGGGGAAGCTGAAGCTCAATCCGTGTAATCTGCCTCTAGAGCCCATGAGCTTAATTGTATACCCTTAGCTGTCCTTCGTTAGTGAATGGGATATTAATAATCTTGTTATTTCCGATTCCATGAGACACAGCAACAGCCAGAGGAAACAGGGAAACAGACTCCTGTTCGAAGCAAGGGAGACCTTTCAAATGCCCAGAGATGGAACAGGTTTTACTGTAGGGTGGAAACCCTGTCATGAGGGTATGTACAAGTAGGGGCCAGAGGACTTGGCCAAGATTTCAGGAGAGGATTCCAAAATGGATAAGGGCAGAGAGCGTCCAAGATTCCTTTCCCCTCTTGATTCTATCATGATCTGAGGCTTGGGGCACTTCCTAGGATGGGTGGCTCAGGTCAACAAGAGGCAGCAATAGAATGGGACCTTTTCTAAGTGCTTTGTATATGTTAACTCATTTGATCTTCAAAAGAGATGAATGAAGAGTTACCACAAGTGTCATCATTCCCATTTTACAGATGCACAAAGTGAGTTATAGTGTGGCTACATACTTTATCCAGGGTCACACAACTAATAAGTATTAGAGCCAGAATTTGAACGTAGGCAGCCTGACTCCAAGGCCTGTGCTTTAAACCATTTCCATATAAAAATCTCTTATGAAGAAGGGATGTGTAATTTGAAAATGTTCCTTTTATTTCCCCTGCCTCCCCACCAAGATTTTTGATGTGTCCTCTTCCCATGTTGCAAAACACTATACTACTAGAAGTTAATGCTAGCAGCTGCCATTGTAACATTCTCATTTTGTCCTGTGATAATTTATAGGGACTGATTCTTCTGCTTCAGAGCAGGCTGCAAGGTAGGGGGTTCCCAAATGCATCATCAAGTCCTACAAATAATCAAGCTGCTATGATTGTGTTCATTTTCTCAGAAGTCCCATCTGAAGGTATACACAATAATGTCCTACTCACAATATAAATTTGGTTCCTGTTTAAGTATTACCTCTGCTGTGGGAACTATTGGATTTCTTTAACTTTTCTACAGAGGCAAAGCTGAGCTCTACACCAAAGATTTCTGCATATTGATTTCCTTGATGGGCAAGGTGGAATTTGGTAATAGTAGGGACTACACTTGACACCTAGCAGGTGCTAATACCTATTTGCTTAATACATGTGATCAATCGGGATTTATTGACTTCGGGGGAATGAAGGTATCAAGGGATTTCTTTTCCTTTCTGGTGCTTTCTGGGCTCTGACAATGAGTGCTAGTCCTATTTGATTTTTTTTTTCCTCCAAGAGATTTGTGCTTCCCAATAACTGGGCAAACAAAAATTCAAGCATCTCCTCAATTGCATTGCATTCCTGAGTGTAAAAAAAAATCTTTAAGAAACACTGTTGTTATTATTTAGACAAACGCTATGTTTCCAGCCGGCTTTTCTTCCAGATCTCTTTTTCCTCCATATTCAAAGAAAGTACTGCCAATGCAATTAGGACACAGAAGATGAATTGTTAAGTAACTGATTCACTCTATAGATAAGGATACATCCTTTTGTGTCTAAGGAGACTGCTTGATTCATTGTGTACAAGGACAGCGTGTTCCTTGCTTGGCTTACTTACCACGTGTTTTAATTAGCTGCCAGGCCTTTTACAGCAGTCCCTCTTCTGAAGGTAGAGAGATTTGAGCTTGTTAAGGTGATGGCTTAAGCAATGCTTTGTCATTAGGTCGGCGTTTTTCTATCTCCTCTCATTTCTGCTCAGGGACTGAGCTCTCTAACCTAATATGGCAAATTGGCGTCCTCCCAGTGGCTAAGTGGCCCGAGAGAGCACAACATTGTAGGCTTCTCAGTGGCAAGAACTTAGTC